CCCCAAAACCCCAAAACCCCGCTAGGATTTAAGCCATCATAATTTTAAATAATTACAAATTTATAATAAAGATATAATGGAGATATAGGCATAATTATCAGCGAAAGATTATGATCCAATACATTTCATTAGACAAGCGTTCGCTCTTTAAAAGAAGAAAGATGATAAGCCTAACTAAGCAAATTTGAATTCCAATGACGGTCTTGATGAAAAACTGAGACTAGTTAACAATCTTAATTTTAAACTACAGATGCTAAGTCAGGAGTCTATAAATCTGATACAACATTCTACTACGCTTATTAACAAAGAGATTGAGACCTATTAAGAAAGCAATTTTATATCAGAGAATCTTGCTAAGACATAAAATGCTATCAATGATTCAGTTGAAGGTGTCTAGTAGTCACAGTAAAAAAATGCTTAAGGAAGCGAAAAATAGGTTTAATCGTCTTAGGAAATTAGGTGCAATCAGAAAATTAATGAAATCAAGAGTGATTTCTCAATGCTAAGTACAATAGACAAAAGAATCAATAATTGCAAGATCATGTCATAAGAGATTGAGCATTTTGAGTCTAGAGTTGCTAAGGTCGAGGAATACATTAGACTCAATAAGTTTTCTGAGCTTGTATTACTTGTCTAATAATTATAAGAGTCACTTAAGGTAGTGAGAGATCTTAGCTTCTTTGAGAAGCAAAAGCAAAGAATAGAAAAATTTGATAAGATGATTCAAGCTTATGCTTAAAATAAAGAGAAGGAATTCATATTTGAATGCAATTTTTACAAATAAAATGCAGAAAATATCAGGTAATTGATATTACTAGAGTAGTACTTTGCGAATGATAACCAACTAGTAGAATAAATAATGACTCAGAAACTTTTAAAGGAATTCGAGTATATTCTATTAAGCAAAACTGAAGAGGAAAACTTAGATGATGAGATGGATCCCTCTCTTGTCAAGAACTACAAAGGAAAATTCTTCTTCAAATTCTCACAAGCTGTTAAGCATTTTTTATCTACTTAAATCGATTTTTTGAATGAACTCTTTGATGATACTAAGCTAGCTTAGCTTTAAAAGGATCACATAGAGAAGCTGATGATTAAAATGCTTGCTGATTACAAGGATAAGCTTATTTAGGAGTTTGTGCATTCTCTTGATTATGATTAGCAGCTAGAGGTATATGAAAATTTCTTCATTAAAATGCTAGTAAATGTAAGAACCATCATTGGAAATAGAGTTGCAGTATCTCTTGATCAGAGTTTCAATCTATTCTTTAAGGATTTATATCAAGAAATGCTAGATAAATACAGGAAGTAAATAGATATAGTGGCAAGTGAGAATTTCTAGTATATATTGGAAAAGGATGCTTTAGGCGGATGGGAAAAGAACTTTTTAGCAGTAACTCATGTATTTGAGAAGGTGCTGGTGAATAATGTACATATATGCTAATGCTACGAGTTATAATTCTTAGCATAAACAGTTCTAAAGACACTTGAAAAATTCCTGATGCAGATAAGGTTTCACATTGGATAGTTTTGCAATAAGAGAATTCATATGGGAATCCCTAACCCAAATACTTCTAATCAGTAAGTTATTTAAGATATTTATTAGTGCATAGGGCTGTTCCTCTAGATGACTAATAGTAATTAGTTTTTGAATAGAAATTTAAATGGCAAAGCATATTCGATATGATCCTACTGCATTAGCAAAAGCTAATCTTTTTCGACAAACTTAAGTAATTGGACGATACTCTAATACTCACTCTAGAGAAGTTAGCTTGTCTATTTGAGTAGGATTCCTAATAAAAGAAGATATCAGCGTTTATTGCTGTTAAGAACACTGTTTATTTGAAATAACTCCAAAAATATCTAAGTCCATAGTCAAAGCAGATATTGTTTACTATTGATAGTGCCAGTGGGAAATCTATTGACGAGAGAATTTTCAGGCAAGAACTAACTGGAGAATCATCTATAGTTTAAAACTTATTAAGAGCTTTTATAATGCCTATTTTCAAGGAACTAAATAACATAAGTATATTCCCACTTTGGAAGTAAGCTTCAAATTCAGGAATATAGATAAACTAAAAGCAAACTTAAAAATAACAGATGTCAATACTGCTACCCGAGTCAAGTGAATACATAAGGAAAATTGGAGAGCATTTCATTTCATTTATCCATAAACTAGACTCCAGTCAAATTACAGCTACTTTGGACAAGACTTTAAATCTTTATCAAATATATTCCTATGACCTTCACGCCTCAAATTAGCATCATACGATACAAAGTGCAAGTGAATACTGGATAGGAGAAATTGGAAAGTATTTGGTATCCACCCTTTCCAATAAATATATGAAAATCAATATATTATCTGCAGATGGAGAGAGATAACTGATTGCTGATATTATCTATATTAAGAAGTTACTTTCTTAGTTTTGTAATCCACATACTTTAATCAGCCCAGATGACGGCAAGGGAATTTTCGAGATTATGGATAGCATTGTGATAGGATTAGTTGCTAATAAGAAATTAGCATCTGACTCATCAATATCAGAAATCATAGATCAGATCTCTGAAGAACTAAACTAGGTATTTGGAATAGGAAATTTAGATAAAATTCACCCTAATGAAAATATAATCAAGGCTATTCAAATCAAAAGAAAATGAGGCTCTTATCCCTTTCATAATATTGATATGATGCTTTTGAAATATATTCTTTAGATAAGTTACTACTTATTTAATCTGAGATTTGATTTTACGGGGTTTTGGGGTTTTGGGGTTTTGGGG